ATATATGTATGTTTATATGTTTAGTGTTACTTTTGGTTCTCTTCTCATTTACAGTCGACAACTGTAATATCTGACTTTTGCCCCTTCTCATATTTGCATGCAGCACGCTTTGTACTTGGTATATCTTGGACTCATTCTTTTTGCATCAGCCTGGATTGGTATGCTTGATCACTTCAGTTTTTAAACTCATCTTATTGGCAAAATTATCTCTTAGAGCGAGCAACCAACTACTTTTCTTAATTTTATTCACTTTAAACAGAGCATCAGTGCCCTTGTTGACATTTTTTTTATTTTCAGGTGTCGCATTCTGGATGCGAACCGGCGAGAGGCAGACAGCTCGTTTGCGGTTGAAGTATCTCCAGTCAGTTCTAAAACAGGATATCAATTTTTTCGACACTGAAGCCAGAGACACTAATATTATTTTCCATATTTCAAGTGATGCAATTCTAGTACAAGATGCAATAGGTGACAAGGTAAGAAAATGATGCTATGCTTGATACTGTAGTGAAATTTTCTGAAGAAGAGGATACTTAAAGATGCATAGATGGCATAGTTAGTTAACATTGTTCCTTGTATCTTAATGCAGACAGGCCATGCTCTGCGTTACCTCGCACAGTTCATAGTTGGGTTTGGCATTGGGTTTACATCAGTATGGCAGCTTACGCTTCTGACCTTGGCTGTGGTTCCATTGATAGCTATTGCAGGGGGAGCTTATACAATAATCATGTCTACCTTATCAGAAAAGGGCGAGGCTGCTTATGCTGAAGCCGGAAAAGTTGCTGAAGAGGTAAACTGTACTTGGTGTATCTTCTTCTGCTACGCTAGGTAGTTCTTGTAATTTCAAGCATGATATATATATATATTTGAGAATCTTTATTTTGGGGCTGAATTTTATGAATCTGGCCACCAATGCATCCTTTTATTTTTCCCTCACATTTTGCATGAACCAGGTTATTTCACAGATTCGTACTGTGTACTCATTTGGGGGAGAGGACAGAGCCATTGAAGCATACTCAAATTCACTTAATAAGGCCCTCAGACTGGGTAAAAAGGGTGGATTTGCAAAAGGAGTTGGTGTAGGCTTTACATATGGACTGTTGTTTTGTGCTTGGGCATTGCTTCTCTGGTATGCTGGCATACTTGTAAGGCATCATGACACAAATGGAGGGAAAGCATTCACAACAATTATCAATGTCATCTTTAGTGGATTGTAAGTCCACTCTAAATATGTAATGGGGTTCCTTTGTTGGTTTGGTATTTTTTTTGTTTCCTTATTAAAAGCAGACCTTTTTCTTCTCTAGTGCTCTTGGTCAAGCTGCTCCAAACCTTGCTGCCATTGCTAAAGGCCGAGCTGCTGCGGCCAATATCATGAAGATGATTGAGACAGATTCTAACTCCTCTAAGGTCTCAGACAATGGAATAGTATTGCCAAAAGTATCTGGGCAGATTGACTTTTGTGAGGTTGGTTTTGCCTATCCATCACGACCTAATAGGGTGTTAGAAAATCTGAGCTTTTCTATTGGCGCTGGCAAGACTTTTGCTGTTGTTGGTCCCAGTGGTTCTGGAAAGAGCACTATTATATCCATGATCCAACGATTCTACAACCCCATTTCAGGTTTATTTAATTAATCTCTTTAAGTCCAAACCATGACTTGATTATAAAATTCATTAGTTTTCTTCTTGGACAATCAATTGTTAACTAAAAGATCTTGTGTCGCTTATGAACCAACTTTTGCTAGGTAAAATACTGTTGGATGGACATGATGTTAGAATTCTCCAATTAAAATGGTTACGAGAACAGATGGGATTGGTAAGCCAAGAACCAGCATTGTTTGCCACCACCATAGCTGGTAACATTCTGTTTGGTAAAGAAGACGCGGACATGGATCAAATCATAGAAGCTGCTAAAGCTGCAAATGCACATTCTTTCATTCAAGGATTACCAGATGGCTACTACACTCAGGTGCACCATTACATCATCATCTCCTCGACTGTGTTATTATATATGAAACCATATATACTTAACTAATTAAATTGAAGTGTCTATGATAGCCATAACCAATTATTGAATTCAGGCAGGAGAGGGAGGAACTCAGCTTTCAGGAGGGCAAAAGCAGAGAATAGCTATTGCAAGAGCAGTGCTAAGAAACCCAAAAATATTACTCTTAGATGAGGCCACAAGTGCTCTTGATGCAGAATCAGAACAAATTGTTCAGCAGGCACTAGACAAAATCATGTCACATCGAACTACAATCATTGTTGCTCATCGGCTGTCCACTATCCGAGATGTGGATACAATCATTGTCTTGAAGAATGGCCAGGTTGTTGAGAGTGGTAACCATTCAGAATTGATATCCAAGAAAGGGGAGTATGAAAATCTGGTGAGCTTGCAGGTATTGGAACGTGTTAAAGATTCCAAGTTAACATCTGGCCATTCTTCAAGAGATTCTAGCTTTCGAGAAACCACGAATAACTATCAGCAGGAGGCTAGGCCAATCACAACAAGACAGCAGAATCCAAGCTCTGCTCCTACTGCATCAATATGGGAATTAATAAAACTAAATGCCCCTGAGTGGCCCTATGCGATACTCGGGTCAGTTGGTGCAGTTCTAGCCGGAATGGAAGCTCCTCTTTTTGCTCTTTTAATAACTGATATATTGACAGCGTTTTATGCTCCCACTGGTTCTCAAATCAAACAAGAGGTTAAAAAGGTGGCTCTAATATTTGTTGGAGTGGCCGTTGCTACTGTTCCAATATATCTGCTGCAACACTATTTCTATACATTGATGGGGGAGCGGCTCACAACTCGTGTTCGCTTATTAATGTTCACAGGTTCTTTTCTACTCACCATTCAAACCTCAAAGCTCAAATTATATTTCCAATTTCAAGTGCAAAATGATAGGTTAGTATAAATTAAGAATGATAAACCTACAAAATACAAATAGAGATGGAGACATGCTTGCAATTGCAATAAAACAACTTATTCTTTCTTCACATCATTTACATTACGAAATCAAGCAAATCTGAGAAATCTTTCTTGTTTCAACTGCAGCTATGCTTTCCAACGAAGTTGGTTGGTTTGATTTGGATGAGAATAACACTGGAGCACTGACCTCAATTTTAGCAGCAAATGCAACATTAGTGCGAAGTGCTCTAGCTGACCGTCTATCAACAATTGTGCAGAATCTAGCACTCACAGCGACTGCATTTGTTATTGCCTTCACCCTAAGTTGGCGTATTGCAGCTGTTGTCATTGCCTCTCTCCCGCTACTTATTGGAGCTTCCATTGCTGAGGTCAGAGTCACATATCACCATTATGTTAAAGCGCATAATGTATATGTTTCAATCATCTAATTGTTTTTTTTTATCCTTAATCCAATATATGTTGGTTTTCTTGATTTTATATCTGCAGCAACTGTTTCTAAAGGGATTTGGAGGGGACTATAACCGTGCCTACTCTAAAGCAACGGCTGTGGCACGTGAAGCAATTGCCAATATCCGTACGGTTGCTGCGTTTGGTTGTGAAGAGCGGATGGCAATTCAATTCGCCTCAGAACTAAACCAGCCAAACAAGCAAGCAGTTATAAGAGGCCACATATCAGGTTTCTGCTATGGTTTGTCGCAGTTTTTTGCATTCTGTTCCTATGCACTTGGCCTTTGGTATGCATCAATACTAATCAAGCATAAAGACTCAAATTTTGGAGACATCATGAAGTCCTTTATGGTCTTAATAATCACCGCTCTGTCAATAGCAGAAACTCTAGCTCTCACACCAGATATTGTGAAGGGATCACAAGCACTTGGCTCAATTTTCAGAATACTAAAAAGAGAAACAGCCATAAATCCAAATGCTGCCAAATCAAATGTTGTCGCTGATGTCAAAGGAGATATAGAATTCAGGAATGTGAGTTTCTGGTACCCTGCAAGGCCAGATATCACCATTTTCGACAATTTGAACTTAAGGGTCTCGGCAGGAAAGAGTCTTGCAGTTGTCGGCCCAAGCGGGTCAGGGAAGAGTAGTGTGATTGCACTAGTAATGAGATTTTATGACCCCATTTCTGGTACAGTTGTGATTGATGGGTGTGATATCAAAAGCTTAAACTTGAAATCGTTAAGGAAGAAGATAAGTCTAGTTCAGCAAGAGCCAGCATTGTTCTCTACGACAGTTTATGAGAACATCAAGTATGGGAATGAGGAAGCATCCGACGTTGAGGTGATAAGGGCTGCCAAAGCAGCAAATGCAGATGGTTTCATAAGTAGAATGCCTGAAGGGTACAAAACTCAAGTTGGGGAGAAAGGAGTGCAGTTATCAGGAGGACAGAAACAAAGGGTGGCAATTGCTAGAGCAATATTGAAAGATCCATCGATTCTTCTTTTAGATGAAGCAACAAGTGCATTGGACACAGAGTCTGAGAAGCTTGTTCAAGAGGCTCTTGATAAGCTAATGGAAGGCCGAACGACAATTTTGGTCGCACACAGATTATCAACTATCCGGGATGCAAATAGAATTGCTCTGCTGCAAAATGGTGGGGTGGTGGAAATGGGAAGCCACGAGCAGCTGATTGGAAGACCCGGTAGTCTCTATAAACAACTAGTTAGTCTACAGCAAGAAAATAGTGGAGGGATTCATTAATTCAAAGGCATTATTATTATTATGTGGTATACTTCCTATAACCAAAGGTAAAGCATAAGAATCTTTTCGATTACAAGCTGAGATAAGAATAGGCAGTTATCGGAGGGATGTATTAAATTAATAAAGACCACTATTGTATATTTTTGGCTTATGCTGTGTTATACATACATTAATATTATTTGTAAAGAGATAATGCAATATTGTAAAGGTATACATTTCTTTTTATGGAATTCAAATATCACTAAAAACTTGGTCCAAAATCGTGAGTTTGCGGGGGAAAGTTTAACCAAATCAAAATGCCATTAGTTGGAGTTCCATTACGCAACCTGATAAGAATATAAACCATAACGCAAAACCTGTAAATAGCCAAACTTTTGTATTATCAAACATTTAAAATGGGGAATGACAATTATGAATACATTGGAACCAATAACATCTGTCATAATAGGGATCTTCATCACCTCTGGTATATGTATGAGAGAGACACAGAGGTACGTGTGTCAACAAGGCTAACCAAGAGTTACACTACGTGAAAACATGTCTTAAACAAACCATTCTAATGCTATCACATGAATCCCTAGAATGTCAGTGAATGCTATACATACACCACGTCTTGCTGCTTCCTCAAAGGACTTCAAATAAAAAGGAGGTAGTGACGAAGAAAGACCGGCCAGTCAACACATCATCTCCTAAATCTACTTGTTACTTATCACAATATGGCGCAAGCCTTTTGTCCCTTTCTCTTTTTCTTCTTCTGCTTCGGCGGCTGGAGCACAACCTTAATGGCCGCATCAAAAACAGCCTTCACATTCTGCCATTTCAATTGTCAATGAATCCCATCAATAACGGGGGGTGAATACACATGAAAAATTGAGGAAGAGGGGAAGAAGAAAAATATGCATACCTGTTGTGTTTTTGAGCTACACTCAATGTATGCTGGCGCTCCAATTAGTTTCCTCATTTCCTCTCCCTTTAGGCAAAAACAGTAATCCAAGGTCAGTAGACCAACTTTTAAAAATATTCAGATTTGGGGGCGAAGCAGTAGTCTTTACCTGAGTAGTATTAATGGGAACTGCACCAGAATGGTCAATAAAAAATTGTTTATCATCCCGAAGATCTGCAAATGAAAATCACAAAATTGAGCCCGTTAATCAAAAGAGTAAGAAAATTCAGTAGTAACTAATAAATGATGGTAATAAATGCTCCAAATAATAATAAGAAATGTTGACTCAAGAACAGGAAAAAAAAAGTGATCAATTGCTGCAGGACTAAGTAAACAAAAGATCAACCTTGATAACAGTGCAGTATTGAATAAAATATCAAATTAAGAACTAGTATTCAATGCACACTCACCAAAAGAAGTTTAGAAATGAGAAGACTAACAAAAGCAGAGCAATACAGCTCTGCTGCACCTTGATGCTGATCTTTACATGGAAGAAATGAGAAGTTCATAGTCCATAGCCAGTCCCAAAAGTTACAGGGACCATAATGCACCAGACCAGACACCAGCACAAACATAGCAAAATTATCATGCACCAGAAAAATATACCAATGCATTATACAAGAAGGGCTGAAAAAAGATCTTACCAAGCTTTGTTCCAACCAGAATTATTGGAACGCCGGGTGCATAATGCTGCAGTTCAGGAATCCACTGAAAAGGAAAACAAAATTTCAAACAACTTATCCACACACCAATGACGAAGACGTCATATGTTAAGATCATTGCAAATAAAGATAAGAATGATTATAAAGAAGATTTGGAACCTTTTTTGCAACGTTTTCATAGCTGGCTTTGCTTATGAGAGAAAAAGCGAGGATAAAGACATCTGCCCCTCGATAGCTCAAGGGCCTTAATCTATTGTAATCCTCCTGCCCTGTTAGAAAATGGTTAAATCAATTCCCAAACTAAAGAACAAAAAAAGAAAACAAAAACAAGGCAAAGAAAATGAATCCACATATTCAAAAGGGGAGTAGTAAAATCACCAGCTGTATCCCATAGTGCTAAGTTGACAGTGCTTCCATCCACAACAACATTAGCACTGAAATTATCGAAAACAGTCGGCACATAGTCCTGTTGTGCGTGATAGTTAACAAAACAAAGGCACACTAAGTCAATGATACGCAACCCAAGTTCGCCTATATGAAGTAGCAGGATCACAACTCTAAAAGAAAAGAACCCTAAACACCACACACAAAGCAATGCATCATAATGTGTTAACAAAAATTAACAAGAATTAAGAACGCATACAATTTCATGAAGCAAAATTAATGTCATTCTTGACCTAAATCAAGGTTTGGACTTTGGTGAAATATTATTAAGCTTTATTGGCCAAATGAGCAGCTAATATAGAAGTTATGCCACTTTAACCCCGAAGTTACCGGTGGAAGAAGCAAAAACTAAAGCACATGAAAATACATAAGCAATTGTACTTAAATGGGAAAAAGGAAGGCAGTAAATTTACGAAAATGGGACTGACCGTAGGAAAGGTGTTGCTGGTGTAGGAAATCAGCATGCAGGTTTTGCCGACAGCACCATCACCGACTGTCACGCACTTTATGAACCTGGAGGCGCTCATTTCAATTTTCTACCCTAGAGAGAGAAGCAGCAGCAGATCTCCACCCAAAGATGTCACTTTTTCTTCCTTCTACTTCCTAGGATCACCAAGAACCCATATTTTGCTAATAAACCCTAATTTGCTAAGGGAAAGAGAGAGTGTAGCACTGTGGCCCGTGGGAGAAGAAACTGAAACTGAGAGAGAAAACAGATAGTCAAAAAGTCAAATTGTAATTGAAACGCTTGCTGACGTAGCCATTAGCCAAGCCAACCTTTTGCCAGCTGACACACCTTCCTTATCTGCTTATTTTCTTTTTCTTTTTCTTTCTTTCTTCTTTCTTTCTGGATCAAATTTATTTGATTTCTACTTATTTGAAACTTTGACTATACTTGACCCCCTAAAAAAAAACTTGGCCAGAGTTGGAGGGGCAAAAATGAAAGGCCACCGCTTTGTTTAGAAGCCCACCTTTGTTTGTGGCGAAGCATCCGTAACACAAATTTGGAGATGGAAAATGCTACTTGGAAATTTTGGCGATGAAAATTTTGGCGGGACAGACTTATACCTGCGAAAGTTTGACGGGATAGACTGATCCCAACAACCTTTCAAGTTCTATAGTAGATTTAGGGTTAGGGTTAGGTTTCGAGGGTTGCGAAAGGTTTTTGAACAAGTAGAGATGAGTTCGGAAACTAGGTTGTTTGGTTCAAGACTTGATATTTAGGGTTTGGACATCCTAGCTTCTGAACTCATCGCAACTTGTTCCAAAATCATTCGCAAGCCTCGAATCCAAACCTTAAACTTATTGTAGGGCACTTAGGATTCAATTAGGCTTGGATACTCATGTAACTCGATATGGGCTTTACGATTAAGGTTTCGATCTCAATCTTGGGTTAGTACAACGTAACCGGATCTAACCTTGACCTGTCTCGGTGAATTTTGTCGAGATAGACTTACCCTCGGTGAACTTGGACAAAATAGACCAATCCATGCGAATATATGTTGCATTAGATCTTTCCTGACGAAATTATATTGGGATTCTGACAACAAACCACTTGTTCAAATCTATATCAAGGTGTACTCAACTAACTAGGATTAGGTCCGGTTACGTCGTAAATTGAGATCAAAATCCTAATCATAAAACGCTAGGTAGAGTTACATGAGTATCCAAGTGTAATAAAGTCATAAGTGCCATAGAGTAGGCTTATGATTATGGTTCAAGGCTTGAGAACGGTTTTGGAACAAGTTTGGAAGTTAGAGTTTTTGGTTCAAGACTTGGATTTTGGGTTTCAAGGCCAAAATCAATTTTTGGAATACTAAAATAGTTTTTACAATATTTTTGGGTACCTAAAAGAATTTTCTAGGATTTTTAAATAATAGAAACTATTTTAAAAATAGTTTTCAAGTACATAAAATGATTTTTTTTTAAAAATTAAATACTATTTATTAAGTAATGTATGAAATTAATTAAAATATTTAAATACTATTTATTCACTAAAGAAATAATAACTAATTACTAATTAAAGTAATTAAATAAGGTTAAGATATTACATAATTACAAATATAAAACTAAACAAACCAATTTGTACTTTTTTTTTTTAAAGTCCACAAAATAATTTAAAATAATTCATTATTATATATTGAGTAATTTATGAAATTAATTAAAATATTTACGCTTGTGAAATGAAATTAATTAAATTAATTAAAACAATAGTTAAAGAAACAATTCAGAAAGAAAATGAGAGGATTATTTACGCTTACGCCTGTTTAAACAATACCGGGTTTCCCATAATTTGAATGTAACAACACTAAGGGCCAGTTTGGCATTGCTGTGCTGTGAAAATAATCACTGTCGAATTTGCTGTATGAGAAATCAACTATGAAAGAAAGCAGTTTGGCGTTTGGTAAACTTCTTGTTAAAAGTGATTTTGGTACAATAATCCGTTTTCAAGTGTTTGGTAAATTTTTATGTGAAAGTGCTGTGAGCTATGCATAATGACTCAGAAGGGCATGAGGTTATTATTTAAGATTGCAATACCTAAACTCTGAATGTTATGACCGGGCTCACAAATAGATATAATAACAACTCAAAATTGTTATGACCGATTGAAATTCACATATGGATATAATAATAACTCAAAATCTTCCCATCATGCTGCTAGTATTCAATGCCCTCCTTGCCTATTTATCCATGACCAACACAACAACCAATTGCCAATTAATGTCCAATTCACTTTGACCCCTCATTATCACTTTCCAGATGCGTTATGTGTGCTCATACTGCCTTGTTTATGTTTTTGTCAATTAATATAGCATTTTATTGAAACCCAGAAGGAAAGTAACAAAATACACAAAGATCCAAAAAAAAAAAACAAGGAGATACAATTAATATAGCATATATGCACTCCTTTCCATATATTTTAAGTAAATTTAGAAATTAAAAGAGTATAGATTGATGATGTTTTCAATAATCCTCTTTCAAGAAGGTATGATGAGCCCCCTCTTTCCAAATGCGATATGTGGTTCATCCATTAGAGCATCTCCAAGGGAGATGTCAAATACCAAACATCAAATTTAAATTTGATGGCTGATATGGCAATTTGACATTTACACAGTTTTACACTCCACCCAATATGTCAAATAAATAATTATTGTAACAGTCAAATCATTTAAGATAAAGAAGAAAAAATAAAAAAAGGAAAATAATAAATGAAAGTAACAGCCAGCTATCTTTTAAAAATAATAAAATATTCATTTGACATCTTACTTTTGGGATGTCAAAAATAACATCTCAACCTCCAACCTTCATTCCACATCAGCTTTGACACATCGGTTGGAGTGATGTGAAATGTTATTTCTAGCCGTTAAATGTCTATGTGGCACTTTTGACACATCGGTTGGAGATGCTCTTAGAGCATCTCCAAGGGAGATGTCAAATACTAAACATCAAATTTAAATGTGATGGCTGATGTGGCAATTTGATATTTACATAGTTTTACACTCCACCCGATATGTCAAATAAATAATTATTGTAACAGTCAAATCATTAAAGATAAAGAAGAAAAAAAATAAAAAAGGAAAATTATAAATGAAAGTAACAGCCAGCTGTCTTTAAAAATAATAAAATATTCATTTGACATCTTGCTTTTGGGATGTCAAAAATAACAGCTGAACCTCCAACCTTCATTCCACATCAGCTTTGACACATCGGTTGGAGTGATGTGAAATGTTATTTCTAGCCGTTAAATGTCTATGTGGCACTTTTGACACATCGGTTGGAGATGCTCTTAGAGCATCTCCAAGGGAGATGTCAAATACTAAACATCAAATTTAAATGTGATGGCTGATGTGGCAATTTGATATTTACATAGTTTTACACTCCACCCGATATGTCAAATAAATAATTATTGTAACAGTCAAATCATTAAAGATAAAGAAGAAAAAAAATAAAAAAGGAAAATTATAAATGAAAGTAACAGCCAGCTGTCTTTAAAAATAATAAAATATTCATTTGACATCTTGCTTTTGGGATGTCAAAAATAACAGCTGAACCTCCAACCTTCATTCCACATCAGCTTTGACAATTCGGTTGGAGTGATGTGAGATGTTATTTCTAACTGTTAAATGTCTATGTGGCACTTTTGACATATCGGTTGGAGATGCTCTTAGAACCCAGAAGGTAGGATGAGTCCCCTTTTTTTTTTTTTCTTTTCTGTTTTTATAAAATCAATTCATAGCATTCCATTGAAACCTAGAAAGAGCGTAAAGAAAATACACCAGTGATCGAACAAACCCAATAAATTCATAGCAACCCGCCCTGAGGGTGATGCGGAGTAAAACCTTGTTTGAGAATACAACCTAGAAATGAAGGGAGAAATTTTTTATATTAAAAAAAAAAAAAAGATGAGAAGCAAACCTTAGATCCAGGTAGCAGGAATCGTGGAGACAAAAAGGTGTGAAGAGAAGATGAGGGAAAAAAAAGAATAAGATGAAGAAGAAGAATAACTAGGTACTGATCGTGAGGGAAGAGAAAGGAGGGTTCAACAAAAGTGAAGAGGACACTAGATGTCATTTGTAAAAGCCTGGGAGGATAATTTGGGTATTTACGAAACATTCATTAAAGAGCAAACTGCTTTCCGCATAAGCGGCGGAAATGAAATCACCCTCCTAGCAGCTTTGTCAAATCGCTGTGGCTGACAGCAATTATGCTTAAAATCAGATTATTTTTTCATTTACCAAATAGGTAGGTGGACGAAAACTTTCCAAGAAAGTGATTTTTGCTCCAAATAAGCAATGCCAAACAGGCACTAATTATACATCATACAATTTCAACTGAGTTGCATACAGAATAATCCTTCAGGTCTCCAATCAACTTGAAATCTAACAATATCATTTCCCAGAAAAAGAAAACTAAATAAATAAATAACAAGCTTCGCTGCAATGTCAATCCCAAACTTCATGTAGAGCTTTTGCACGCTAGAAGGACTTTGTCCTGTTGACAAGCACCAACTGCCTAAAGGTAAAGAGGAAAAGAAACTGCACATAGCTGCTCCTCATTTAGGATTCAGGGGCATTTTTCGTAGACTATCCTCACACGACGGCTCTCCTCATCGTTCTTCCTCTCAACCCCAAACTTTATTGTCCTCAAATATGACAATCTCTTTAACCCAGTGTCAGACCTTGATAGGGGCATATTTCACGCCCATTACCCCACCTTTCTGTTTCTGGAACTGTATGTACCGCAACGTGCTGCTGAAAAATGCATCTGGGGCTGGACTCACATTTGTAGAGTCGCTTTGCATCACAGTTTTAATTAACTCCACCGATCCCTGTATTGCAGCACTTGTAATCTGGGGGTTTCCTTTCTCAAAGAAGTAGAGGTACCTGATGCAATGAATCAACCTTAAATTATACAACACGATAGCAATATATAATGAAAGACTTCAATCTGGCACAGTAAAGAGCAACTGACTTGTTCAGTATCTCAACAAAGAGCGTGACTGTGCCACTGCTACCCCGAGTTACGCTGGCCATCCGTTGAGCAGCAATTGCAATTCTCAAGGCACGCATTTGAAATGGACAAGAAACTAGAATGGAACCGTGAAGGGTAATGCATATACGCCAGCCTCCAACAACCACTGTGCTTGTGGCCACAGCGTGCTCCTCATACAACTGGAGACCTCATTGTTAGCAGCTTTAAATCTTTTGGACCCACATCTGTTTTGATGCTTCGTCCCAAAGAGCCATTCTTCATCACCATCACCAACATCGGCAAATTGAATCAGGGGAGGGATCCAATTCTCAATCAGAGTTGCATGGAGTGAATCTTCACTCTGAATCTGATCTTCAAATGCAGCACTCGCACTTCTCTTCTGACCAATCGTTTTGATCCCCTCTGATGTTGAACAGGGTAAATCTTGGTCAGGTTTTGAAGAGACCCGCTTGAGTTCTACATTTGTCTCTGCACTGGGTTGACTGGGTGCAAGAACAACTTCCGTTCTCTCTGGAGGAAGCAAATCTACCCTTCCAGAAGGAGAGCACGCAAGTGAGGCATCTGGTTCACTGTGCTTAAGCAATTTAATGCGAACGATCAAAGGCTTGCTTTTCTTGCTGCTTTGGGTTCCATCAGACAAGTAGCAATTGTTCTCAATACAGGTTGGCAGCCCATGTTCGTTCGTAATGTCACTTCTCTCCAGTTGATCAGCTTCATGTTCAATTTTTTGAGGACACCATCCCTTTGCTTCCCCTTTTTTACCCTTCTTTTGCTGGAAACACTTTTTGTCATCAAGGCTTTTCACGTTGTGAAGAGTAACATAACCAGGTATGGACTCATCCTTCTCTTTACGCCCTTGTCCCTTTATCTCCCTTCTCTCTTTCTTCCTCTGACTCTTGCCATTTTTCTCCATTTCTCTCTGGAGCTTTTGAAGCACCAGAATAAATTCAATAAGATTGGCAGAGCAGACCAGTAAAACATGACTAAAGCACAGAAGTAGAGAAACTGCTGACGTTACACGGACTCATTATTTGGAAGAGTTGGGACACAGATAATAAGATCAAAGAAACAACCAACATTTGATCCATTACTAAATTTTAGGTTAGTACAGTTTTACTAGACAGTAGCGAGATACTTAACCTGATGACGACTAAGTTGTAAGCCACCCACTTACAAATTACAACAGCCTAAGTTTAACTTCAAATTCTATGAAGTCCTGAACTTTCGGAGTCTGAAAGAAATTGGTAAAACCTACACCTGTAAACTACTTAGGTAAAACCATCCTGATGGACAACACAGTTAACCCCACAAATTCAGCTTCTAATCAAGATAGAAACGGTGATAACCCATTACAAGGTCCATAACCTAATTCTCATTTATTGTCAATGATATCAACTTATGAGTTCTTGACTCTTCCAAGATCAAACTTTACCCCAACTACACTCGACGATGGACATATAATGTAGTTGTGGGTTGTGATATTAATCTGGTACAAAATTAAAACACCTTAAGATTCGCATTAGTAATTATGTAACATACGTACAATTAGTTTAATATACACGAAGAAAAACTCAAAAATTGTTTAAGATTTGCCCCAAAAAAACTTAGAATTAACTACAATTTTTCCCTTGAAAAACTCAGATTTGTCTATATTTTCCAAGAAAAAATGGGGATTTATCCGGAAAAATAATTTCAAATTAGTTTCTACAGGAAACCCATCAACTCCATCCCTACATGATAAGCAAGAATCATAAAAATAGGCCATTCTTGAATACCCACAAGACCCACCGTTTTAAATAAACTGACAGACAATGCTAGAATACAAGGTCAGGCATATATTACAGTGATTACATGTCGCAGAAAGAGATAGGGGGAGAGGCCCAGAAAAAGCACAACCAAATTGCTCAACAAACCTTAGTCGGTTCGAGCAAGGCCTCTCTACTCACTGCGTTCCTCGCATAATCGCTAAAGGTGTACTTCAAGGCCCGAGCCATCTTTCAATTAACCAAAAAAACCTTTTCCCACAACCTAATCGCTTAACTAGATCGGAACTTTCGCAAAACCCTAGCACAGAGTTTTTTCGGTTCTCTAGCTTGGAGGTTTTTCGACGGCAATAGATTCTCCAGTACATATGAAATAACAGCGTGGCATTATATAGACCGGCATATTTGTTATACCAATAATGCCCTCAACCTAATTCAATTTTACTTTGAACTCTATAGGCTCGTTTGGTACATAGGACTGTCTTGACATGAACTATGCTTAGGGACTGTCTTGGCTTGGCTTGGTCTAAGTTAGATAACACTTATCTTGCGTTTGGTGTACGCTTGGACTAGGACTAGATTTTTTATTTGTTTTTCAAAACTATCTATGTATATGTATATATGTATAAATACATGTATTATGTATGTGTACATATGTATTTTATAATATATGTGACATGTATGTGTATATACATGTATATATGTATATTATAAATAATATAAGTGTGGTTTGGTGCACATGTATATATTTTTTAATGTTTCCTGTATTTCCAATATTTTTTTATAAATAGATTATGCAAGCACAAATGTGGTTTGGTGCTACTGGGCAAGGAAAAAAATCTTTTAACCATCAAGAATGTTGGGAGGTAGTCAAAAATTGCAAATGTTTCAGAATTATTCCCACAGGTCCGACTGTTGTGTTGAACGAGACGCCACTCTATAATTCAACAGCATCGGATTCGCCTCTCGATTCTCCGATGAGTGAAGACTCACCCATCCAAAAGGAGCCGAGGCCTATTGGGAGAAAGGCGGCGAAGGCGAAGAGAGTGAGTAATTCTACTAGTAATACATCTAAATTTTTGGAGGAAATTGCAAGGCAAAGCGCCATGAGACTTGAAATAGACAAGAAAAACCAAGAAGATGAGAGGGCATTTCAAGTGGAATATGCAAAAGAAAAGGAGTATGTACGTAATCAAAACATTGAGAAGAAGGATCAGGAAACCATGGCCATGGATACAAGCCATATGTCCCTTGAAACAAAACAATTTTGGAAGCTAGAACAAAAGGATGTTATGAGACAAAAACTTTTTCGTGACGATGGACCTAGCAACACGGATTGGTTAAATGATCAAAAACTTTTGTTTTCATTGTATTTTAATGTTTTGTTTTGAAAATTAGTTGTAATTCATGTATTTTATTTCATTAGTAGTATTGGTTTTATTTGAGTGAATAAAGAAAGCATTTAATAAAATACCTTTTTATTCAAAACATTCCATACATAAAAAACAAATCACAATGAAAGCATTAAAAAAAACAAAGCATAACTAAAAATAAAACATAAACATAATAAATAAAACAAACTTCTTCACTTCACTTCATTCATCGTCATTGCCTTTCACTGCTCATAAATGCTCCATCAAGTCAACTTGACGTCGTTCATGAATATAAGACGATTGCATCTCCGTATATCGATCAATCATATGGGTCATTATACGATCGTCCCTAACCAACGGTTCATGCTGCACTGGTTCTCCATTTGACCTCATGGGTTTTTCATAAATTCTTGTCAAGACCGTGTTCATTGGATACGGTTCGTACACGTCTTCAGAATCATAATCATACTCATCCTCCACAATCATGTTATGGAGGATTATGCATGTCATCATTATGATCCTCAACACCTCCTGTTGCTTCGATTCAGCTGCACCAAAATGGTTTCAACTGCATCCTCAACTTGTGATACTCGCAAGTGCACGAGCCGTT